TTGTGTATGTTGGGCCTGGGTCGAAGGTGGAACGTCACATCTGAGCACATGATCGAAATTGGAGAGAGCACGTTTGATCAAGGCCTCRGCSTGTAGGATGGGCCAGTTTTCTCAGCAATATGATATTGAGGATAATTRAGGCACTATCCTTTGTGCATTGAATTTTGATATGTAATATTTGCTTTTTAATATTCTCAGATTATCCATCAATCAAATATGGCATTACTATCGTGTTGTTTATGCAATTCGAGGCCAAATAAACMAYCACACAAGCAAGATGGACCCTGGTCCTTCCTCGTGGTTACGTGTACTTTCTTCCAATCATGGTTGTTAGTTGGGATAGYTCGCGGCTATGGCGTTTATCTTCCTGTTTTGATGAAGGAGTTCAACGAAGGACGCGATAAAATAGGTAACACACGTGCATGCACGGGTAACTCTGTCAGTCACAGATTTATCCAATGGGTGTCCCCTCCACCTTCTGATTGCTTACAACCTTAAATACTTTGTCCTGTTTTATGCTTTCTACCACGTTTGAGGTGTGCTCCCCTCCCATCATTACACACCTGCTAGCCCTTGAAGGAAACTCTGTATCTCAGACCCGGGGGGGGACTCCCTAATATCAAAGGGCGGGGGTCCTCGGCAGAGATTGTGAAAATTACCCCTAAAAGGGACCTCTATTGTGAGATGATGGGCGTGGCAGTGCTGAAATTTCAACCCTAAAAGGGACCAATAAATAACAGGTCATTTTGGTTTGGTTTACCGATTTTATTTGTGTTTTTACACAATCATCGAACACCGTCGGCTCGTATTGAGTTTATGACGACGTTGCCATTTTATGACTGCTTAGGGTCGCCGTATACCCTAAAAGGGACCATAAAACACAGTTGGTAGGAATTCTTGTCATGATCACCCTAAGCGGGACCAAAATACTGATTTCAAACCCTAAAAGGGACGCCGAGGATCTCCGCCCTTTGATATTAGGGAGTCCCCCCCCCCGGGATCTCAGATCGTATTTTGTTTACAATTATAACATGGATCAACTTTCAACAATAAACTCTGTAACTGGATATGGTAAACTTTATTATTTTATTCTTTGGCAGCTTTGGTGGGTTCACTTGGCAGTGGACTTGCGTTTCTTATGACAGTAATAGTAACCTGGCTAAACTCATTCATTGACTGCAGGATACTGAACGCAATTGGTCATTTGNGTTTATGCAATTCGAGGCCAAATAAACCACCACACAAGCAAGATGGACCCTGGTCCTTCCTCGTGGTTACGTGTGCTTTCATCCAATCATGGTTGTTAGTTGGGATAGTACGAGCCTATGGCGTTTATCTTCCTGTTTTGATGAAGGAGTTCAACGAAGGACGTGATAAAATAGGTAACATACGTGCATGCACGGGTAACTCTGTCAGTCACAGATTTATCCAGTGGGTGTCCCCTTCACCTTCCGATTGCTTACAACATTAAATACTCCGTCCTGCATGTTTTATGATGTCTACCACGTTTGAGATGTGCTCCCTTCCCATCTTTACACACCTGCTAACACCTGAAGGATACTCTATATCTCAGATCGTATTCTTTTTACAATTATTACATTGGAACAACTTCGAACACTGGCGCGCAGCTTGTTATTAGAATGAATCTCGAAACTAGTTTTGTTTCAACAACATGTTGCACAAGTTCTTGATTCGTGAACGACCACTCTCGACCATATCCCGTATGCGATCACCTTTTAAATTTCCCGTTACAATTGTTTCCCATATAAACCCTGTARAAAAAATCTCCCGTAAGCGACCATTTCTTGTAAGCGACCACTTTTTCCTGATCCCGAGATGGTCGCTTACGATAGAGTTGACTGTAGTGAAGAAAGATTATGATAATTCAAAGAAAAATACTTTGTATAACTACGTCAACACTGAATTAACTATCCTAACGATAGAGAGCGAGAAAATGTACATAAACAGAATGACATCTACTTGGAGTGAGCCTGTCAGTGATTCAAGTCTAATTCCTTCCAGAAAGTGTTTTTAAATAAATAGCTGTKCATCTGTAACTGGATATGGTAAACTTTATTATTTYATTCTTTCGCAGCTTTGGTGGGTTCACTTGGCAGTGGACTTGCGTTTCTTATGACAGTAATAGTAACCTGGCTAAACTCGTTTATTGACAGCAGGATACTGAATGGAGTTGGTCATTTGTCATTGGTAATAGCTTTCACTGTATCATCGATTATCCAGAGAGTAGAGTTACTGTACTTAACTTATAGTATKTTTTGTGCCATTGGGATAKCYTTGATTTTCCCAACAAATGTCCTTGTGATTTTGAAATACTTTAAAAAACATCGTTCACTCGCCCAAGGGCTGCATAGCTCGGGTGGTGCCCTCGGCATTATGACGGTGCCCAACATTTTGCAGTATTTGTTGGATTCTGTGGRATGGAGAAACGCATTTCGTCTTCAAGGAGCTGCTGTAGTTATCTCAAGCCTACTCTGTTTGATGTACAGTCCCAATGTGGAAAATGAAARACATGRCAATCAAGRTGCCACTGACAGATCCAACGAGGCCGGAGTTGTCAATGAAGGTGCTATAAATGAGGATCATGTTGTTGATTCCAAGAATCCCGAACACAGTGCYGGCTTTAACATTAGTGGCTGTGGTCACAAAAACCAAAAGAATGATATCGTCAAGCAATCTGAACACATTGAAAATARAACCAAGGATAAAGATGTCAACGATCTTGGAGAAGAGAACAAAGAGACTCGTGAAAGCATCGGCGAAGATGCAAATAAACGAGACATTCAGGAAAATACAGTACAACTTGAAGATCACAATGTGGATAACATTACCGCTGAAAATCCATCTAAAGATCGCAAGGTTTCCAGTTTAAGAGCTATGTTTGATTTATCCGTATGGAGAGTTCCAATATACACCGTATCCGTTATCTCAAACTGTGTTGCTGCATTCTCGTTGTTCAGTGTCACTGTTCACTTGGTGAGTTAATATGCTCCATTGACATTGGGAGAGTTGTCTTAAAATGGACAATTTTTAGTCTTTTTATCAAGCTATAAGACAATGCGTACTTTCCTTAGCTTTAACTCACGGTAATGAACCCATTTTCTAYCAGGTCAAGTTTTCAGAAGAGGTAGGATTATCGGCCACAAGTGCATCCAGCTTATATACCTTCTTGGGTTTGGCATCGTTAATAGCAAGGATCGTCGCTGGTAAACTCTGTGACATAWCATGCATTAAACCCAATATGGTTAATATGGTGTCAGAACTGATTGGTGCTATGGCTACATTTCTTCTAACTCTTAGCACAACCTATGTACATCTAGCAATCTTGATATTC